TTCCTATCTCGTCTGACTTGTTTTTATAAATCCATTTTCTACCAATTGTTACTCGATTTTCAGGTTTGGGTACCAATTCCCACACATTTGCACGTTCAAACTGGTTCATTTCTTCAAACATAGAAGCTGTCCAGAATTCATCCTGGAGAGCTTCTTCTATACGTTTAGGTTCGATTAAAGAAACAAAAGCTGCTAAGGATGGTAGAGTTCTGGAACGAGTTGTCATACCTTGGTCTAGTCTTCCAATAATCTGGCTAGGAGGATGTCGCTTAACTATGTGTGGAGGGGGTTTCACAGAGGTTTCTTCTGATCCATCTTCCATGTCAGCCTCTGTTTCTTTTGACTTATTTGAGATTGATTCCTCCCTTTCGTTCGTAGAATAAGGCTGCTCTGCGTTCTTGACTGGAGATGCTTCTGTTGATCCTGGTTTACTCTGCGTGATACTCTTTCCAAGACCAAAGTCATCGTCATCGAGTATATCTGTACAGTCAATAGCACCCTCATCAAATATCACGTTGGCGGACTCCTCAACCTTGAGAGTCCGCTTGTTCAAGATTCTCTAAGCCTTACTGTGTTTGAGTATCCCAAAAATACTGATTCATCAGATCTTGCATCGAATTTCCCTAGATTATCCTTGGTATTTAAAGCATAACACTTACACCCAAACGGGTGAAAGTATCCTAAGTTAGGCTTTCTTCCTCTCCAGATTTCATAGGGAGTTTTATTTAAGCTTTCTGATTAAAGCTCAATTAGTTATATAACACGCTGTATTAACTGCCTCTGCCCAAAAGTACTTGGGCAAGCTGTAGTCATAAAGCATAGTGCGTGCAATATTAATTAAAGTTCTATTTTTTCGTTCCACTACTCCATTTTGTTGTGGAGTCCTTGGAGCAGAAAAGTTATGAGAAATTCCTGAATCATTACAAAATTGCTCAAACATCTCTGAACAGAATTCCCCTCCATGGTCACTCCTGATACTGGCTATTTTACTTAACTTCTCATTTTCAACCTTTTTAACAAGCGTTTTAAATTTTTCAAACGCTTCATCTTTTTTTGCTAAGAATAACACCCACGTAAACCTCGAGTAATCATCCACAATAACAAAGGCATAAGATTTCCCACCATAACTAACCACATTTGCGGGTCCAAACAGGTCAGGATGCAGTAGTTCTAAGATCCTTGATGTGGAAATGACTGGTTTACTTTTAAAACTTGACTTAGTTTGTTTTCCTTGGGCACAAGCATCACAAAAGAAATCCTTCTTCTCATTAATTCTTGGCAGACCCTTAACTAGATTCATTCTAGCCAATTTGGAAAGGACAGCAACATTAACATGGCCAAGCCGTCTATGCCAGTCTTGTTGCTCACTAGCTTCCAAGCTAACTAGACACAATTCATTGAAACTACTCTTGTCATTTAATAGTATAAATTTTCCTGCTCCTCTTTCCCGTGAAAAGAAGTTGTCTGCTTTTAATATTTTCCACATAACAGCAGTTTGACTCGAAGATCACACGACAATCCTTTCCACACATCTGGCTTATGGATATTAGGTTATGTTTCAGGCCTTCCACTAGCATTACGTTTCTTATGCAAGGACGAGTTCCCACTTGTCCTTTACCAATAATTTCAGCTGAATTGTTATCACCAAAGTAAACATTACCAAAATTACCTAGCTTAAGAGTTGAGAAAAGATGTTTATTACCTGTCATATGGTGTGAGCAACCGCTATCCATGATCCATTTAGTCACCTTCGTGCTCACTCGAAGGCAACTCTGCAAACACAACATTCATTTTGTTTTGCGAACCTAGACCTTCTTGGGTGCATTTGTGATTCCAGAATTATGATACTGTTCAATCTGATTACATGCAGGTGTAACATTGTTCTTTCTTCCAGTTTCTGATTTGACTACCCAGACTTGTTTAGTTAAGCAATGAGACCAAAGTGGATTCCCGTTTTTTACAGCTTCTGACCTAAGTCTTTTTCTGCAGTCTTTGATTCTGTGACCATAAGTATGACAGTAGTAGCACTCGACTACTTCTTGATCACTATTTATTCTCTTCCCATACTTAGTGTGATTTATGATGACTTCTGCTTTCTAGTAATTTTCTTTTAAGGTTTGCACATTCATTTTGAAACTCTTCCTTTTCTCCTTTTATTTGCAGGAAATTGTCCTTGAGCATATTCTCCCTAAGTTTACTAGATTCTAATTCATTCTCTAATTCTGTTAATCTCATGAGATTAACTTCATTTTCCTTCTTTAGTTTACTGTATTTGATTTTAACATTTTCAAATTCTATCTGAATATCGTTAATAATTTCTACCAGTAGATCATCTTCAGGATTGCATAGTTGTTCTAGTTCGACAGATTTTACATGAGTCAAGGATACAGGAGATGCAGGTTCTTCATCTTCTTCCTCCACTTGAGCAATTGCCATATATGACCTGTGGATGGTTACTTCATCGTCATCATCGTCTTCATCCTCACTGCAGCTCCATGTAGCTGCTAAAGATCTCTCCTTTTTCAGTTGAGGACACTCAGCTTTAATGTGCCCCATTCTGCCACATTTGAAGCATCATATAGAGCTTACCCCCTTTGTTGCTAAACTTGACTCACCTCGATTTCTTGTGAAAGTTTTTCCTTGTACACCTTTTATCACACCATCATTCTTTTCGAATTCCTTAGGCTTAGTTCCATAACCACCTTGCTTCTTTTCTTTCCTGATTCTAAGTAGTCTGCTTATCTGCTTGCTTAACAGTGCAAGCTCTTCATCTTCCATTTCATCAAGTTCTTCTGGTTCATCGACTAGACTAGTTGCTTTGAATGTCACTCCTATTTTTCCCTTCTCACTGATTTCCTTCTCATGTCCTGTCTTATTCAATTTCTCTTTGTGCGTAGCTAGTGACCCAATCAGTTCATCTATAGCCAATGTCTCCAGATTCTTTGCTTCTTCTATGGCCGTTACTTTTGGAGTCCACTTCTCAGGCAGACACCATAAAATTTTCCTCACAAGATCACCACTTTCATATGATTTCCCTAGATTCTCCAAGCTGTTCACGATGTTGGTGAACCTTTCATACATTTGCCTGATTGACTCTCCCTCCTCCATTTTGAACAATTCAAACTGATGCTTTAGTGAGTTTATACGAGAAGTTTTAACCTGAGAGGTACCTTCATAAGTGACTTGCAACTTGTCCCAAATTTCTTTGGCTGTCTTGCATCCAGCCACTTTGTGATACTCCTCTGGCCCCAGGGCGCAATACATCATATTAGTCGCCTTACAGTTTCGCTGGAACTTCTCGAAGTCTTCATCTGACCATTTTTCTTGATCGTCCTTAAGTTCATGAGGACCCTTGATCACTCTGGCCCACAACTTGGGATCTGTAAATCCGACGAACAGCTCCATACGGTTTTCCAATACTCGTAATTGACTCCTTCGAATCTCGGAGGTCGATTCTGAGAGAAACCATCAGCGAGGTATAGAGGTGCATTGATTGCCGACCCAGACGCCATCCTTGGAACCACCAGAGGTTGTTGAACCCTTTTCGACTGGTAACGGGGCTCTGATACCACGTGTTGATGGCGTCGAGCGCAAGATGCCTGCTTCGCGAGGTACTTGTACTAGCTCCTGCAAACCCTAGAACAACCTTTTGGGAAGATCAAGTGAGTTTGAGAAAGAATGGTTTTCTGATCGAAAATGTACCAGTGAGCTAATGAAGTGAGAGTTGTTAAAACGAAACCCAATATGTCGTATTTGACTTGATTTGCCAGGCCCAGCGATTGTAAGCACTATGCTCAACTTACTGTGCCAAAACGTCACGTTTTACCTTTAGGATTCTGCTTCTTCTTCTTCCCTTTTCACAAGCTAATCTTCCTATGCAAGATATGCACCCGAACCTTGCAAAACAGAGTATGGCATAGAGAACAGAAGGTAAAATGCAGAATCGAATAACACAGACTCAATTTTTACGTGGTTTCCAGTATTGGGAGAGTGAGGATCCCAATACTGACTATTCCACGGGTCGGAGAATCACGGTTTGTGATTTCTGACGATTCACTAGGTATGATGATCTTGTTTCTTTGACAGATTTACACTCACGAGGTTAACCTATCCAATCCTGGATGATTAACCAAATTACTGACACCTATCTCCCAAACCTCAAGCTATCCAGCTTTTGTGTTTTCCAACACACTTCCTCTCTAACACTGTTTCACTCCTGAATCAATGCTAAAGCTGCTTTTCACTATTAATCACACTCGCTATTCCCTTAACCTTCCTTGTGTGCCTTGATCTCTCGGAAAAGTTGCTTCTCTTAATTCTGAGCAAGCTTTTTGTACTCCATAGTGGCTAGCCGTTGCAGCTCAAGTAAGGTAGGTCTTCTCCTTTGAATTCTTTCCTGAATTGCTCGTCTAATCAAACCTTCCGTTCCACGCAAATCTGCTTTCCCTGTGCAGATGATTCTTTCCAAATGCAGATTCACCAGAACCACGATTTCCTTCCCTTGATTTGAGATTGATGACTGGCTTACTTGTCAACAGCGGGTACACTTTCGATGCTCGACACTAGGCATAACTAGATTGATTGCTTCAACTAACCCCTAAAATAAATAAAAAAGAACAAATCTTAGACATTCAGGCCCACAAAACATGTTTTATATATGTAAAAAACATCAAGGTTAGGAATACCTTTTGCTGGTCAGAAACTACGCTCCATCCAACCCCGTCCCCGAATCCCAACTCCTCTTGCAAATGCTCTAGAAACCAGTTCCAAGAACTCTTGTTCTCACCCTCCACAATAGCCCATGCGAATGGGTAAATGTGATTGTTTCCATCCTTCCACACGGTAGTCAGCAGCATTCCTGGAACCTCGCCCTTGAGGAAGCATCCATTAATGTAAAAATGGCCTATAACTAGCCAAAAAACCCTTTCTCAAGCTGGAAAACCCAACATAAAACCGTTTGAAATGCACCTTATCAGCCACTTGCACATCCGTCTCAACTTCAAGTTTTAACCGTCCCTCAGGATCTGCTGCTATTAGTGCAGCCACATAACGACGAAGCTTGTTATACTCTTGTTCAAGAGTACCACATAACATCTCTTTAGCAATGGCCCTCGCAGTATAACACGCCTTCAATTCAACATCGACTCCAAGCTCCCATTTCACCTCAACCGCAATAAGTGGGGCTTTCCAATCTGGCTCACTCTTGAAACGCTCAAGGAAGTGCTTGGCAATAAGTGGAGCTCCAACACGTTGTGATCACAATTTGGATCGTAGAAAGACAGATCATCAAACATATCTGTGGGTTCCTCATCCAACAAACCTGAGCTTCTTCTATGGGCAGAAACCGAAGCCTCATTCTGGCCATCTTCTTCATCTTCATCAAGATTGTAGTCTCCATCATCTTCTTCCTCGTCCATGTCACCAGCATCTTCCATAGGCTGATCCACCTCTTCCCCTGCTTCACTATCTGGACTGTTGACCATTGGGAGATGAGTCTGCTTCTCAGATGACTCCTCATCACTAGAGTCAGCCATGTTCTTTATCTCCTTAGCAGCCGAATTTTCCCCCGCTTCAAAGTAGTCATCATCTTTTTCAAGCCTTGCCATGTTGTTTGCACTGTCATTGTCACCCATCAAACCATCATCAGCCTCGACACAATCAACAAACAGTGAGACCTCCTTAGTCTGTGTTGTATCAACTAGCAGACCCTCCACGATTTCCTTGTCGGTCTTGATTTCGGGTAATCCCTCTGCCATTGTGGCTCCAGGAGTCAAGTACCACATCTTCCAGACTCCGTAGTAGTTCAAGTATCCAGTTCACAAAGACAGAATCCCAAAGTAGGACACTTCATCAACATCCACCTTGAACTTCTCCGAAAACCCTCCTACATACTTTGGGGAATCACCAGAAAAATCCATCACTCCTCCATGATGGAAATCGGGATTCATATATTCAACCATCTGTAGCAAAAGGTTCGAATTAGGTTAAGGGTTTGAAACCACAAAATCACACCACTATCAAAATACACCAAAATCACAGGTTAGGGTTCATAAAAGGGTTTGAATATGGAGAAGGGATTTCGTCTTTGAACCAAAATTTCAGAAGGATTAGGGTTTGAATCGAAAACCTAGAACCATCTTACCTTGCTCGAGCAGAGACAGCTGTCCGAAAGAGATGGAAGCGTGATTCGGCGACAGTCCCTTGCTTGCTTTCTCTGCAACAATTTGGCGACAGTCCGTTGCTTACTTCAGCTCGATTCTTGGTCGCACGTCGGTGGAAGAGATGGAAGTGCGACATTGGGTGCTGGGAGCGTCGGCGCGGGGAGGTTTAACAGGCGACAACAGAGCTCGCTGCCTCGCCTGCTGGAGAATGATGTTTCGTCGGGCGATGAAAAAGTAGGGGAGAAACTGGGGAGAGGGAATTGGGAAGGTAAGAATCGAATGGTTATTTTTTTTACTTTACTCGCGATTATTTTACTCTACAAATCCTTTTTCTTTTTTTTAATTAAAAATAGACCACCACCTAGGATTCCACCTCATTCCGACGCTGAGGAGTCAATAAACGTAACAGAACTATTAACGATGGGGTAACAATTGGATAATAAATAGAATTTTGACAGGTTTGGATAAAATAAAAGAATTTTGAAAAGGTTTGGGTAAAAAATAGACATTGCCCAATAATTAAATACATACCAATACCACTCATCATGAAGTTAAAGCTCTCCTACCAAACACTTAAACTATACATAGTTTGAGGTGACTGTCATGGTATTGTATGTAATCCTAAAGTCTAGTAATTGTCCAAAATATTTTGATTTAGTAAATAGGCAGACTCATTTAATTTTTGACCCATAATGCTTTAGTTTGTTGTGCACGTGGAAATAAAATAGGAAATCACGAAAGTTTGGTTTGGTTGGTTGCATGGAAGTATAAATAATTTTGTATATTAGGTGTATCATTTATTGGTTTCATTGGTTAGGGAGTAGGTGGGGATTATAGGGGAAGGTAGATTGGGCGAATATGGTGTCTGGACCCTGGAGTGAACGAAGACCACCAATAAAATGCTTTTACTTCAATTAATTTTTAGGCTAATAGCATTTTATACCCTTGTACTATTGCAAGTTAACAAACGTACCCCTATACTATTTTTTTTGCACAAAAATGCCCCTCTATTATGAATACATACCCAACGTGCCCTTCTGTCAAATTTTCTGTTAAGTGGCCGTTAAGTGGAACGACCATTTGCCCCTCTTTTTCACTTAATACATATTTTTTGTTTTACGTCTACGAATTCCATTATTTTCTCTATTAAACCTAGAGAATTACCACCTCCTCTACTGGTTCTTCTTCGCCGCCGGTACCCAAATTAACATATAATCTCTAAGCAACCCTCCGCCTCTAATCAACCCTCGACCTCTTCCTTAAAGCTTCCCTAACATAATCTCAACCTTTCTACCCGTCGGAACCGCCATTCCCCTTGATCGTATGGTTCTGTAGCACGAATCTGGTACTCTCAAATTTCCCCGCTCAACCCTGTATAGTCACGATAGCAAAACTCTGGGCCAAAGCTCGAGAATCCAAAATTACCACGATTTCACAATAGAATCCTTGTCGTCGCGTCGCCCATAATCAAATGAGTGAATCTCGAATCAGCGCAGCCGCGATAGAATGGACGGTGAGCTATTGTATATATCGTGGTTTGGTTGCCTTTAATTGCGAATTTGTAGAAAATTGATCTATAGCCCCTACTCTTAGCCGCCGCCATCACCCTCCCATTTCCCTTCTGTTTTGAATATCCATCGATTGGTACATAATCCCAGTCAAGTAGAAATACAACTGTGGTGGAGACGTAGAAGTTGTGGTGGAAATTGCTATGGCGGAGCGGGCGAATTTTTTTAGACTCAACTAGCGGAGAGGATAGGGTAAAAAAAGTACCTTTTCATCTTATTTAACGGTTAAATAACAGAAAATTTAACAGAAGGACACGCTTGTTATGTGTTCATAATAGAAGGGTATGTTTGTGCAAAAAAATAGTACAGGGATACGTTTGTTAACTTGCAATAGTACAGGGTTATAAAATGCTATTAACCCTATTTTTTAAGGTCATCCAGTCATTTATGCCCCGTTCACTTCCCAGAAATTTTTTGTTTTCTGTTGTAAAAATGAAAATCAAGAAACAAATAATAAAAAACGTGTTCACTTGTAGTTTTGTTTTCGTTGAAATAATTCATTTGGCATAAATGAGGAAGTTAGAAGGAAACCATTAAAATTCGTTTCCTGGAAATTATGGGACGGGCTACTTCCCGTTTCCTATCTGAAAATGGACACTGCTCATTAATAATGTCGTTTGTTCGATCCCTGCCAGCGACAACTTTTTTTGCTTATCTCCTCTTTTCCTAAATGCCGCCGTTTTGCCCACTAAAAGTAAAACCCTACGAGCAGCTAAACTCGATCCCTCTCCCGCGCTTGAGAAGAGAAGCAGCAGCGACGACCGCGTCTGCAGCGGGAAGCAGCGAAGGCGAATCCTTCCTCCGGCCGGCGAAATCAAGCAGCAGCGACGCGATTCTCCACCGTCGAAGAGAACCTACAGCCGGTCGCCATCTCCCTCCTCCACCCGACGATTCGTTCGAGCCTCTCCATCGGACGAATCCTCTCCTCCAGCAGCGTCGAAACAGCCGGCCTTCCCGCTCCCCAGCAGCATCGACGATCTCCTCTGCTTGAGGTTACTTTATATATATATATTATTATAACTAATCATCGAGCGTACTGTTTTGATTTCTGTTTGAGTGTGGGCACTACTGGCTGAGCTAGGTATTTGCTTTTTTTTAGTTGCAGACAAAAAGATGAAGAGGCGAAAACTGAGTAAGAAGGTCGCTGTTTCTACGCCCCATACCATCTCGAACACGGAGTATTGGAGTGATGATGGTAATCGTTTCCTTGAGTTTCAGTTTATGGTAGATTTTACAGTCACTGGGTTTCATCCATACTGTTGTTATTCTGTTCTTGGTCCTATATCAAATTGGCCATCTTCTGTAACTTGGAGATCTAGAGTCTCAACTAATAGTTGTTCTTCACTCATGACTTCTTTAGTCTTTTTTTAGTTCATTAAGAGTTTATTATGTAGGGCTCAGTTAGGAGTTTCGTTAATCTGTCACGATCTTATCCCCCAGCATAGTAAAGTGCCCTGCAGCTTGTGTACTGAAGTAGAGGAAGTATACATCTTTCTTTGTACTTTTAGCATCATGCTGGTTTGATTGCTTGTTATGTGTTAGTGAAGTCTACTAAATCATTTTTGTTACTTAATATGTTATAAATGTAACACATTATGATAATGTAGACTTTTTGTTCGTTTAAGTGAATATCACCTTCTGTGTAACTAAAGGACTGTGCATTACCCTGCTCCATAGTAGTTAAGATGCATTACCCTGCTCCTCTTTTGCCGTTTTTCCTACAAAGGACTGTGCATTCCCTTCTGTGTAACTAAAGGTATGCCTTAATTACGGAAAAGCAAATGCTCAGGCTTAGCTGTTGATCCATATTGTTTTTGCAAATACTAAGCTTATTTGGATGATGGTGGATGACAAAAGTTTCAATTTTGAGAATATCTCTGTAGCCTTTAGAACTGGCAGTATCAAGAGAGGGAGAAAAAAGTGAGTGACAATAGGTCATCCTTTTACAGCATTTCCTAATGAGATGCTCTTCTTTCTGATATATTCTTGTTGGACTGCGACACTGCTGCCAAACTCACACAAATTCATGCTTGAAAAAGTGACCTGCAATTTTCTATCATTGTTGACATCACAGGTCAGAGTGAGGTTACCGAATCTGGCTATGACTCAGAGTCCTTTGCGCTAGATAAAGAGCATACCTTTACGTTGGATGCTCATTCTGCTGTTAAGACATCTACACAGGAAAGGTATATGTTCCTCTTGTGCGATTCTTTCTTGTTAATGTTGGAATTCATGCTTTTGGGTTGATATTGTTCGAGGGTGTATTGATAAAGTTCTGCTGGATGGTCTTTAAGGTTAATAAACATAACTAGTATGCTCACTTGCTCAGTCATTATTAAAGGATGAATACAGTGTCTGTGTTAATAATCAGTAAGGTACTTCTGATGAATTATTGCCTGCTTGCATCTCTACTATGCTTGCTTTTCCATTAAGTAGGTGCTTGACTCCATCATGCACAGGACTAAGAATGACTTGTTTCTTTGTTTGTTCATCTACTTGAGCTATTTTATTGAAAACCATCAATTCTTTTTTGTGGAGGGCTTATTTGGTGAAAGATAAGAAAATACAAACTCTGCTCATAGAGAATTGATGTACCTAGACTGCTTAAAGAGCTAGGGTTGGTGAAATTTAGGGTTTTTTTATAGGTAGGAGGAGGAAACTAATAGAACAGTCACGAACAACTCATAAGGTCTGGTGGTCTAGGGCCAGAACCAAAATTAATGGACTTTTAAGAACCCACAAGGAGTATTTTTCGAAATGTCTTGTTGAAAACTGAGTTGATCTGAAATATTCTAAAACTAACCTCCTTATTTAGGATTTACAAACTGAACGCGCAAGAAAACTAATAGAATCTTAATTATGAAACATAATTAATTACTAATTTCCTAAAAGACATCAACTTACAAAAGGAAAATAATAATTTTCTCAAATAGTAAAGGATGAGAAAAAAAACCAATAAAAATAGAGTAAAAATATATCCCCATCAGGGATGGTTATGCTTATTAGTAAGTGATGCTCACATGACCTTGCAACTGAATGATTAAATGGTATGCTATGTTCTTTTGTGAATGAAATTTATGATTCTTCATTTATATTTTATTATCTTGACAGTAAGTTGCACAAAGTGTGATTGTATCCCTTTTTTTCTACGGCAGACACACTCTTTACTTGATTGAATACTAAAGCCAGCTTTTATGCTCTGGGTTTAGGAGTCTTGTCACATTAAGGACTAATTGTTCCTGGAGCGTGGTGTTACCAGGTTATGTTTGTCTTGCAGTTATAAATAATGATTGATCTTATTTAATGGATAAATTCTTTTAAGGTCGATGATGGTATTATTGTCAGCACATGTCCCCTGAATATTAATCTATGTCATTCTTCGTTGTTGCATGCTCATGTCTTTGTGGGAGATGCACCTAAATATTCTACTGTCATCGTCTTTTGGTTTCTAGCATGAGTGCTGATTGTTTGCGTGTGGTTGATCATTATTGTCCTTGAAAAAGCATCTGTAACTGCTCGTCTTTCTGTTCGTATTTACTTCTCAATAACCTTTTGCTGCAGCTTCTCAAAGTCACTATATCTTTGTGCTTGCAGTTCTTTTCTTTTACATTTAGAAAAAAACTTATCCGATGAAGAGGTCGAGAGTCTTTCCAAAAAGAAATGGAAGTACAGATGGGAAGTGCCTTCTCTTGACTTGTCAAATTGCAAGTGGGTGGGGACAGGAGATTGTTGCCTAAAGGTACGCCCAATGTTGACTGTTCATTTACCTCTTTCATTTAAATTGTTCGTCTAGGTTTCATTAAGTTAGGTCTACGCTTCTCCAATTTCTTTATTCATCCATGTTTCTGTTAGCTAAGACTACGGTGATTAAAAGTGACGATGGTAATTATTGTAAAGAAATCATGTACTCACATAATTCATTGATTCCTAATTTCCTCAATGAAGAGCAAAGAGGTGCATCTATGCAACTTAGTAGTTGATATGATAGTAAGTGCAAACTCATTTTCCTAGGTCAAAGGTCAGGACATATGTATTTTCATCTGAGAATTAATTCTAGGACAAAGTCAGGTTCCTCGTTACAATGTTCTAAGTATGAAAGAACAACCAATATGGATGGGGTTACCAGTCGCATACCACACCACACAATGGATACCCGGACTATACATGTAAACACCTTTACTCTTAACTGTAATGCCATAGTACTAGATTATGGCTTGAAGATTTGCAATCTACTTGCTACATATCATACATATTGTCATCTGAGAATTAATACTAGGTCCTCGATACCATGTTCTAAGTACGAAAGAACAACCAATATGTATTGGATTACCAGTCGTATACCACACAATGATACCCGGACTATACGAGAAAACACCTATACTCGTAACTGTAATTCCAAAGTACTAGACTATGGCTTGAAGATTTGGAATCTTCTTGCTATATATAATGTTGAATCTTCTCGAAAAACAATTTTTTTTTTACTGTGAGATTCAATTGTAACATATTGAATCATTTAGACACAGGATATGTTGGACAGTTCTACTAGGGATGTCAAACAAAGTTTGTATAAGCATTGGTTGGAAGTGTGCAAGCTGTATGGAGGCAGAGATTTTCCAGTGTCTAAGCATGGTTCTTTCTTCAACATCTGTAAGTTGTTTTATTCCCTGTAGAACTATGTTTATTGTTCAGTATCCTTGTCTCGATTTTGTAATTGCATATGAAGAACTCTCTTGATCAACTGTAACGAATAGGATAAAGCCACCATTACAATTTCAGGTTATATGAAAACCTTGTTGAATGAAACATGTTGATATTATCATTTGATGTCTTATCAGCAAAATCTTCGGCATTTCGGGCTCTCTAGTTAATCACTATTGTGCGCTTATGAAATATGTAATACCTAATATTTAAACCTAATTTCTTGAAAGAATGTAGTCATGTTAAATTTGGGGAAACACTAGACTTCACCTTGATTTCTTCTATGCTGTGAAGAAGCATACTTAATGAATTCCATGATGTAGCAGATCGAAGTACTTAAATTACTGATACTAAAAAGGCCCTTAAATTAAGCTAGCATGTCTTGATGCTTTCATGTGCTCTTTTGGTCTAGAGGAATGAGATTTCTATCACTTGACTAATCTTTGTGAACTAATTCCATTTCTATATTTCCTGAGCAGAACCAGTGTTTGGATAGTCCTTGTGAGAGTTTTGTTCCTCCTGCTTTCTTTGTTGTAGTGTTGCCTTGCCTTTTCGTTACTACTGTACTTGTTTGGAATGCAGTTTGACATACTGTGTTCTTTGTATCTGTGCAGCAGTCTATAGTTGATGTTCTTTGTTTGTTTCTGCAGTCAATAGCTACAGGGATGTATTGCATTGTAACAAGAAACCTTTCTATCTCAAAGGTCACGGAGAAGATTCTAACATTATGGACGCATACCTCATGCATTCTGTGAGCTTGCATCTCCTTTTCTTTTGTTCTGTAGTGGTGTTCTTGGAACTGTATATCCATAATCTCAATCTGGTAATATTATGTTGCAGTTGAATCACATTTTTAGAAGTATAGATCTTGTGAAAAAGAATGATACGAAAGTTGCCAAGCTTCAAGAAACTGCTGAAAGTGAGTTGCTTATTGATGATGTTGTTCGTGATCGCGGATTCACTCGGCCAAAGGTAATTTGGATTTTTGCTTTTAGTTTGACTTCTAAGCTGGCTGCACCTTGGAAGTGGCAATTAATGATGCACCAAATTAGGCATTATTGCTTACGGGAAATTGCACTACCTTGTAGCTGCAAGATTCAGAATGATAATATCTGTCAGTTGATAGAAAATATCTTGCTTCATTGCTTGTAAAAAATGTGGCTACTGACCTTTCAGTGCTGCTTAGAGTACTGCTCTCCTCGTATCTCTTAAACAATTAATTGCTTACAGAAAATTGCACTACCTTGTACCTGCAAGATTCAGAATGATAATATCTGTCAGTTGATCAGTTGATAAAGAATATCTTGCTTCATTGCTTGTAAAATGTGGCTACTGACATTTCAGTGCTGCTTAGAGTACTGCTCTCCTCGTATATCTTAAACAACTAATAGAAGTATTCACTAGCCCTCCTTCCTGCCCATGCATATGTACATGTCCCACTCTTATTTTCTTGTTTCACCAAGTTCCCTGATCCAGACAAAGGGAAGTTCGTTACCAAATAACGTGGGTGCTTGTTTTTACTTAACAATAAGTTAATGATAAGTTAACCCGAATGAGCCAACTTATGAGGTAAGTTGGGGTAATGAGTGGGTGACATTCTGTTTTATAGTTTTCTCTCACCGGTAGTGAAAGACAATCTTTCTCACCTTTATTTTTGAACCACTCAGGTTAGTGGTGTTTTATTAACTACTACCAAAATGTCTTACTCTATCATCTAAACAAAATGTTTAATCATCCAGATTCGAAATGGGGTTACACACACTATTACAACTTAAAAGTAACTGTAAAACATAACAAAGAGCCCTAGTGTTGCCTTTTATTGCATTTAAGTGTTGAATTAGAAGTGCTACAAGACCCTCTTGAACTAATGTTTTCCCCAGTCATTGGAAGTTAGCGCACTTGCTTATTTTTGTCTCAAATGGCTATATCAGGTTTTGATCTTGTTGCCAATTAGACACATTGCACTTCGTGTTGTGAAGAGGCTGATTCAATTGACTCCTCAAGCTTCAAAGGTAAATTGTCCAGTATTTTCTTTGTTCATAAGTAATTTTGCATTTGTACCCATCATTTTCTTCTATGCTTGACATGTGGAAGGAATGGTGACGGTAGGTGTACCCATTATTTTCGCACAACTCTTCCAAGAAAATTATTCTGTAGTATGTTTCATCAGTCATTCTGAAGGCATACCTATGAAGCAGAGACAATTTTCTTACTGATAGATATTTCATTTCTATCCTGTTGTGTTGGATATAGTTTTCTTAGGCTAGTTAGACGGTTTCATGCAGGTAAATGTGGAGTTCATGGATCGATTCCTTGAAGAGTTTGGATATCAAGAAGATGAAGCCGATTTGGACAATGAAGAATTGAAACTCAAAATTGGAAATTCAAAATCTCAGAAGATTTCTAAGCCATCTGACTATGAAGCACTTTTTGGTGGAAATTCTGACGATGATTTTATGATTGGAATTAAGTTTACTAGGTAAGCCATTTAATTTGGTGGGATGTAGCTTTACAGGAATTTCGCTGTTAACTTCATTGCTTTTCTTCAGTCTTGACATGCAGGATAACCTTTGTTGGTGAATCTGAGCTACTCTTTGTGGCTTTTCTTCTCTTCTGCATTCTCTTAAGTGCATGTGGCTTCCATCTTCTTGAATTTCTTTCTCAATCCTTTTGTGTCTTATGCAGGAAAAGCATAAGGTTTTATAGTGACTTTTATTCATCGGACATGATTGTTGCTTCTCCACTTGCGTTGCGGGAGGTATCGTTTTATGCGTCCTTGGAAATTTTTTACATTTTACTTTATGTCGACCTTCTCATTAATATTCCGGATAATCACGATCTTGAAGACGTGGTGAAATCTGTTAGTTTAGTAGTTGAACCATTCCACATAAAAGATTTAGTAGTTTATCCCAGAATAAGGTAAATTCCCATTTGATATGCTTAAGCTTGAGAAGTTTTTATCAACTCTTATGCTGTAAAATGCTACTACTGTTTTATTATTATTATTTTTTTTTTTATAATTTGGACTTCTCACTACCTGGATATTTGAAGCATGTATACCTTAATATGCTTAATCCAAAAGTTATTTACTTTAATTGAAAAGTCAGGGTTCTATGATATACAGCAGTTTTGCATTCTGGTTACTTCTGAAAGTGTTTGTTTCCATAGAGATCCAACTTCATCAATTCTAGTGTGGCAGAAGATGTGCACAACCCAAAACCTGGCAGGCTTTAGCTATGCATTTCTGTGACATGGATATAGACTTTGGTAGCTCAGATACACCAAATTAAATTCATTGATTTCTTTGTAATAGCCTTTAATTGTCCTTTGGGTCATTGGGAGCCGTAACTTAAGGTTGGAAGGGATACCAAAAGGCTTAAAGTAAAGGAGCTTTTGGCTGCAATTAGATTGCAAAGTACTTGTTGCAGGAAGTCCTGCATTAAACTTCGTAGAACTTCACATTTTTGTGGTCGAAAGGACTCTACATTTGTTGGTATATGTCAGGGAATTACTCATTATTTTATGGTTTTTACCATTACATTTTGTGGCTTGGGAATAAGTTGCTTGGATTGATGAAGAACATAACATCTTATCTAAATTTGATTTCTGACATGTTTGTCGTTCCAGAAAATTGACAAAGTTTGGGCCAAAAAGGAAGAGGATTTTGATTATCTTTCTTCTATTGAGGTATTTACTCTTTGCTATCTCCTTTTTCTCATTTGTCGGCACATGCCTTTGAATATCATTACTATTTGTTCCTACTATATTCTTTTTGCTAGATACTAAATGGGAGGAAATTTGTTTCACTGTAAAATGAGCAGGTCACCATAGTTGATCATGCTGATGTAATAGCAATGCAAGTAGGTGCTTCGAACCCATTGTTTGTCTTGAATTTGTATGCTTATTCACATTCGATAATTTGACCCTCTCCCCTCCCCCTCCCATGCCCCCCCCCCCCCCCCCCCCCCCCCCCCCCCCCTCCCTACGCTAATGCATGTTGATTGGAACTATTTAGAACTGGGAGCATCTTGCTGTAGTTCTTGAACAATCCAACCGCATGCCCTCCAAGCAACACGGGACTGACATCATGCGCATTAGAAAATGGTTTGTGAGTTGGTCGTTTCATGTTTTTTTTTTCTATTTATATCATGTTCCTTATCTCTTTTTCTGTATAGGCAGCTGGATGGGCATGCCAGATTTTACCGTCAAACAATTGTATTAGGTCATTATGTAAACCCAGGTATACATTTCTAAGACATTGGTATGCATGTCTTGCAATCAACTATAAACTTTTTTTGGGGTGGAAAATTAATTATAAGCTCAACTGGGACAAATGTTATTGCTATATTTGATTCTGTATGCGCTTCCATTTTTTAGGTAATTGGAAATATGATATATAGTTTATATATTGTCTTTCTAAGATTGGTCTCTGAAATCTTGATACCACTGTGGATCGATTGAAATGACCGAGAACTGGTATATACCTGTTGAGTCTGTTTCTATGACCCTGTTCAGCCTACTTAAGTTGTAACTATGACTACATCTTGTAACAACAATGGGATGACAGTCTGGGTTCTCATTTGGATGCTTACATTCTGACCAATGCGTGTAGTTCTTGTCAGTTTTGGCCTGTTTGAAAGGAAAACTGGCATGAGCAAATAGCACCACTCCGTCTAATGCAATGATGACCGCCACACTATAGCTAATCCATGTTTTTATTTGCTTTCTTCAGATATCAATTCTTCATTCAATAATTGGTGTGTTAACTACCAAGGAAAAGTGAGTTCTCTTTTTTTTTTTTTTTTTTTTTTTAACAAGTGTGATATATGTTTGTAGTGTTTCCTAAGAGATTTGAACCTGGGACAACCAGGTTCAAGACCAGTGGTATTACCACAGGACCAAGTCCTTGTTTGTTTTCTCTTACTGGCTTTGTGGAAAGCATCATGCATTATGATGCACGTCAAGACCTGCCGAGATGAATATCAACATCCCTTCAGGTTTTTTGAGTTATTGTATATTGGAAGTCGGTTAAAAGTGTTATGATTAAGGACTGAGGTCACTGTTAGGTTGGATTGATGAATTTAATAGTTGGTTTACCTTTCTATCTATCTTGCGGAGCTCCATGGCTTCTTACGAAGAACTGTGAATCTCCGTAGGATCTTGGGTCTCTTAGTTTTGAGTAACTCAATCCTTTTTGTTGAAGTGAACTTGTCGTCTATAGATGGCTTCACCATTGGTGCAAGGTGAAAAGGTTCGACAAAAGAGAGAAATGCCAAAAATGCGAAGGACCTAAAACAATCGATTGATGAGCATAGTTATTTTAGGGTTCCATAATGTATTTGTTTTCCTAAGATGTTGAGTTTCAGCCATATTTGAAAAGCTCAGTCCAAATACCATATCAGCCTGCTTAAATTTGTACAGAGTCCAATATGTGAGCAAATGATGTTAAGAAATAGTAACCAAAATCGCAGAGAATGGGTTGTGAATCTTAAGGGCTTTGCTGATGATGTTGCTGCTGTGTGGTTCTTTGGAGTTCTTTTCATTTTTCTGTAATGTCTCTCAAATGGTTGCCAATTATCCTGTTATCAGATCAAGTCGGTATGTGAGACTCATAAAGGTGTTCTTCGTAAAGTCCTACCAGACCTAAGACAGGTATGCTGTTTGCTTTTTTTTCACAAATTGTTTATTGGTTATTATGGAATACATCTGAGTTCTTTTTATCTATGATATCCTTGGTGTTTATTTTAGTCAATTGACACTGCTTGATGGTTACTGAAGAAGTACTATTCTGTATCAACCATTAGTTAAATTCAACAAAACAAAAAAATGCTTAATGTATCTGGAATTGATTCTAACATGACATTTCAGTTTATGAATTACTTATTCCCAAATGTGGTGTCTCCATGTTATCGCTACCAATGTAATCAAAATCGCGCTTTAAAAGCCTACGCTTTTACGATTCTAGGTCATCAAACGCTTTTACGTAGAATTGAGCTTTTCCTAACTAATGTGGTCCAAATTGCGGTTTAAAGCTTAAAAGCTTACGCTTGTAGGTCACCAAAACGGTTTTATGTAGAATTATGCTTTTGACTGCATTGGTTGCTACATTGATGATGTAGTTGAACTTGTTACATTAGCTTATACTGTCACAAAGTTGTTGCTGATGTACTTATTCCCAGATGTGGTGTCACCATGTTGTTTTGTCATTGATGATGTAGTCAAACTTGTTACATTAGCTCATGGAAACTCGTCTTTTGGTGGCATTTTCTTTTACTTCCCGACAAAGTCGTTGCTGTGATGCCTGATGAGTTTCAATACATGGTTTCCATTCTTGTACAGATCTACGAGCGATTTGACGTGGGCTCAATTGCAGATATCGATGATATGCGCCTTGCTCATTTCATTAATAAGGTTAGCTCTGAAAAGACTTAAAAACGATCTCTGTTGTAGAAGTATCTTACCGGGGGGAAAAGGAAACATGGAAACTAACCATTTGTTACTCCAATAAAATTGTTGTGCTTTGTTGCTTAGGGTTCCCGGAGAGATCCCTGCTGCTTAGAAATGAGTTAACATTTTTCTATGTTATTATTATTTTGCTTTTGTAACTGTGGATTTTGGAGTTAATTTGGACACATTCTTTCATCGTCGAGACTATGAACATGTGTGGCTTTCAGAATGAGTGTCATTGGTTAAGTATAAACTTGTGCTGACAGAAGTAGAATTGATCATCGATGTTGATTTGATGATCATTTTCCTTGCAGGTTTTCCCGAAGATCAAAGATTCTGAAGAGGTAATATTTTTGCTCTTCAAGGCAGATGTGGTGAGTGAGGAAAAAAAAATAAAAAAGCATTGTGATGGTGGTGTTGTGAAATATTGTGCAGGGAGGAATCATGATATTTATCAGTTCTTATTTCGAGTTTGTTAGAGTTCGTAACTTCCTGAAGTCTCAAAACGCATCATTTTGCCTGCTTGGAGAGTAAGGATCATTCATTTGTCTATTGATCTCTTGGATTATTCCGAGTGAAGCTTGTAATATAAACTAAGCATCTATTGTCACTTTCACTGATTCATTTCAACGGTGGATTGTGTTGCAGCAACACTAAACCTAAAGATGTGTCACGTGCGCGGAATTGGTTCATCCAGGGGAAGCATAAAATCATGCTCTACACTGAAAGGCTTCTTTTCTTCCGCAGATACAAGGTTGGTTTGGCCCTTGCCTCGCCTCCCCTACCCTCACGCTTCATCTCTTGTTGTGGTTTAGATGGCTACCAAACATGAATCATAATATTTGCTGGTGTGGTATGTTTCCTGATGACCAGATTCGTGGTGTGCGAGACTTGATCATCTATTCACTTCCCGAAAGGAAAGAGTTATATCCTGAGGTTAGCATTTTGAGAAAAGAAAATTGAAGTTGTTTGAAGAGATGATTGTTACAGACAACATTCGCTATTACTCTTGTTATATCAGCATTTGCAGAGGAGAAATATTCATTGTATGTATGTTTGTCTTTACTGTCTGAAAATTTTTGTTCATTTTTTTTGTTGGTGGGTTGGTTTTTGCTATTCTTGGGCAGGTTGTTAACATGCTTGAAGGGGCCAACAACAGTAACATGTCATGCACTGCACTCTTTTCCAAGTTGGATTGGTTGCGGGTAAGTAGTAGTGCTTACCAATAGTGAATGATTATCTGGGATGGCAAAGCAGAGGTGCCTTTTTCATTGTTAACATGAGGGGGTTGAGAAACTAATCCCTTGTGCTTTTGCTTTGGTAAATAATAATAATGCCCCTGTTGCTTTCTTAGCTGGAGAGAATCGTAGGGACTGCTTCTGCAAAAAGGATGGTAACGTCAGACAAGCCGGTGTTCGTGTTATGTTGAGATGAGAGTAGAGTGCATTTAGTGGGTAAGTTTATGGAGCAAAAAACTTCAGTATCAGGAATCAGGCGAGTCCACTAGATGCACAGATAGAGAGCCATGGAATCTGCTTGGATGGTCAAGGTTCCTTATTTTGCTTCAATTGAGCAACCAATTTTGATTCGATTCGATTTCGTCTAAATTATTGGCCGGTGGTTTGCATTTGCATGGTGCTAATAGTTAAGAATCTCTCTCTGACTAGGTGTAGTGTATTGTCGTGGTTGGCTATGTTTGTCTAACGGCTAAATAGCAAGATTGGTTACTAGAATTAGGGGTGGAAGTTTGGTTAGCGGTTTGCGGGTAACCCGCAAACTGCACCAAACCGCATACTTTGTGGATATCCATACCCACAATTTGTGGATAGTGGTTTGGATGTGGGTAGTAAAATATTGGGGTAAATGTCACATTTGGTCACTGGGTTACTAAATTGTGTTATGTTTAGTCATTGAAAAGAATTAATATCAATTTTTGTCACTCGAATTACTAAAACAGATTATATTTAGTCACTCTCCCGTTAGCCTTCGTCCAATTCCGGTTACTAGAATTACTTTTTTTTTTTTATGAATGTCACTCAAATTATTGAAACATGTCATATTTAGTCACTCTCGTTAGTTTTTGTCCAACTCCATTAATAGAGTTGGATGGAGACTAACGGAGAGTGACTAAATGTGACATGTTTTAGTAATTTGAGTGACACAAATTGATATTAATTTAATCTAGTGAGTAAACATGACATGATTTAGTAATCTCCGTGATCAAATGAAGCATTTACCCCAAAATATTGATTTGTGGTTAGTAGTTAACTACCCACACTGGTTTAACCACAAAACTCACATTAACCACATTAGTTATATTTCTTTCTTCAAAATACGTTGTAACCCACATTAGTTATATTAGTTTGTGAAACTTGGAAGACTAAGAGTTAAAGTAGCTACCAAAATCAAATACGCACTTATTCAATAAAACAAGACCAAGTCAATACCCAATGTTCATGTGAGATGCTTCTATCAAATAATCATTGTCCGTGTGTTATATTTTTATTTTATGACAATACAAGACTATAATCGAGAGTGGAGAATAATTGATACATTAAAAGCGGGCGCTTCCACTTATCGAGCCATTTTTGTGTTTTACTGTTGTTGCCATCGGAGGAGTCATGACATGCAACGATGTTTGTTTGGTAATAGGTCACTCCGCCTCTCCGTTATCTTCAAATCTTTTTCCAAATCCATCTCTTCTGGATTTAGACTAACTAACCTATTCTATTCGAGATTCATAATTTATTTAACACTTTATTAACTTTCTTTTATGTATGTTTTCGTTTTTGTGTGAGAAAAAACACATCACTATTTAATTACCTTATTATTATATTTAATTTAGGTATCCACAACCAACCCGCACCAACCACCAGCGGGTAGTGGTTCTGTGGGGTGGGTTGTGGTAGCATTATTCTATACTTGTGTGTATGTTTACCCGCAAAATGTGGGGTGGGTAACCACACCCACCTCAATTTCCAACTCTAACTAGAATTACTAAAAAAAAGTACGTTTGCCACTAAAATTGGGTAAATAACATTTTGTATCCGTCAACTATTGTATATTTATCAACGTACCTCTCTACAAAATTTTTGCAAACATATACTCTTTTAATATTAAAACGTAATGAATTTACCCTTCTATCAAATTGTCCGTTAAGTGGCCGTTAAAATGACTGAAAAATAACCCAATTATACTTACTTTACTCCTAATTTAGTTTTAATTATTTTATTTATTATTTATTTATGTTCCAAACAATTAATTAAAAGGAGAACAACAAGTTGGCTCCAACCAACAACAATAGTTCTTCCACGACTCTTCCTCCTACCTCCTCTGCAAGCGACACCCTTTTTCTTCCCCTCCTATCCGGAATCTGCCCCAAAAGAACGCTTCTCACTTTGGTCCGCTCTGATTAGTACTGGGCATGTAGGTGGCCAATTCGCGGTTTGACATCGATTCACCCGCAAATCACCCAAACTGTAGCGGGTGTCTAAATTAATAGTCTTAATAACTTACGAGGAACTTATTGTAAATGTTAGTCAACTTTCTTAATGGCTAGATGGAGAATTGTTTTTGTGGGTTAACCCGAAGAGGAATGTGGGTTGATGATATCTCACAATTATACCAATCCGCTAGTGAGCAGGTGGGTCAATTTGAGACCAAAACCCACCCAACTGGCCCATTGCCCACCCTTGGCTCCGATTGCGACGAAATCTCTTCCTGCTCCTGTTGCGAAATCTCCTCCAATCATGCCTCCCAATCCAGCAACAACAATTCCAATTAGGAAGTCGGCAGCGTCGGCCCAGTCTCCTTCATGATCGAGAACGATGCTCAATCACAGCCTTCCAACACTCAAAGTGTTTTAATTCAAACAAGCCACTGCCGCAGGGGGTTCGACGTCGAGAATCAGAAGAGGGGTTATTTGATCTCGCGGGTTTTTGTAACCGACGGGTGAAATGGGTTCGATGACGAACACGAGAGGCACGATCGACGAGCGTCTCACCGCCTTGCTGGCGTCCACAAATCAGGCGCAAGGAGATCTCGATGATCGCATCACCAACGTTCAGAGCGCGCTCGCGTCTCAGGCGGCTCAGTTTCAAGAAATACGGACTCGTTCGGAGGGCCATTCCCTGCAGTTCGTCACCTTGACGACGCGTCTGGACTCAATGGAAGCTAACTCAGCAACACGTTTTGCAGATCTGGAAACGAGCTCTGCTGCTCGGCTCGCAGACATGGAGGCGCGATTAGATGATCGTTTTGGTCAATTCACACAGGAGATTCGTAACTTGCTACAGGCGGTGGTTCCTCCTCGTCCAGCGGGGGGTGTTGCCGGAGCTGTGTTGCCGCCGATTGACAGAAATGCTCGTGGCATTCTTCCTCTACCTAATCAAGGTTTCCGTGGCGTTGACCCTGCCGTGGTACAGGCGGCGAGGGCTGAGCGTGATCAATTCCACGTTCATGGGCCAGGTAACCAAAATCAATTCCACCAGCTTCCCCGTCTTGATTTTCCGCCTTTCAATGGCGACGATCCTCGTGAATGGACACGAAAGTGCGAGAAATTGTTCGAGATTTACGGTATTCCGCCTGATCAGAAGGTTAACTTGGCGGTGATTTACTTTCAACGAAGAGCTGATCTCTGGTTTGAAGGCTGGAAAATAGGGAGACAGGAACTGAATTGGGAGGAGTTCGTGGCGGCGTTGTGCCAGAGATTTGGGAATCGCACTTATGGCGGTGTGGTAGCAGAGTTCAATAAACTCCGTCAACGTGGTTCTTTGGCAGACTATCAGGAGAAATTCGAGGAACTACGGTCTTTAATGTCACGTTTCAACCCTGCTCTGGATGAGATTTACTTCATCAATAGTTTCATTAGTGGTTTGGATGAGGAACTGCGCCCAGTCCTACACATGTGGAAACCACAGACACTTGCGGATGCTTTTCAGTTTGCTCAATTGGAGGAGGCATCGAATTTGGCTTGGCAGAAGAAATGGTGTAGCAGTCAAGGGATGTCCAATCGTCCTATGGTGGCTTCTACTAGCACCAATCCCATACAGCCTCGTCGCTAGGAGGTTGCAAATCCCACGAAACCTGGAGCTGGTAACAAGTCCCCTGTGTTGAACCAGAAGAATAATGGGGCAAGGGGTGTTTGCTATAAGTGTGGGGATCGCTATTTTTTTGGACATGTGTGTGATGCAAAGAAGCAATTGAATAGTTTGCAAGCTGAGAACGAGGAGGAGATGGCTGATTCTTGGCCCAACTCAGTTGAGGATGAAGTGGTTGACTCTGATGTGCTGGAGGAACATCCAGAGCTTGAGGAGGTAACGATGCAAGCTTTGAACAGTGGTGGTATGGCTAACTCACTCATTGTCCAAGGTAAGGTGAAAAGTGAAAAAATCTTCATTCTAGTGGACACGGGCAGTACACATACTTTTCTGAGTGATAAAAAAGCCAAGGAATTGCGTTGTCATCTGGTTCCAGCGAGTAATCCATTGAGAGTGAAGTTGGCAGATGGTACTATTCTTCTCAGTGATATGGTTTGCCAAGGATTTTGCTGGGAAATGCAGGGTCACTCATTTAAGTATGACATGAGGATCCTGAGCTTAGGGTCAAACGATGCTGTGTTGGGGCTAGACTGGCTGAAGACAATTAGTCCAGTTAAGTTTGATTTCATTGGATTAAAGCTGTTCTTTGACTGGCAAGGAAAGGAAGTGGAGTTAGCAGGCATACAAGATTTGGTACAGTGTAAGCTCATATCTGGGAAAAGCTTACAAAAGTTGTGGGACAAGTCTGAGATTGTTTTCATGGGGCAGATTTGCAGTCTGCAACCTGTTGACCAAGAGGCAAGTTTGGCTACCATGAGTCTATGGAAGGACCAACCACCTGACTTCTTGGAGTCAGTTTTACAAGAATATAGTGATGTATTTGGGAAGCCTATGGGTCTTCCACCAGCAAGAGATTGTGATCACACAATTCCCCTACAACCAAACTCCCAACCTGTCAACCTCAGACCTTACAGGTATTCAATTCCACAGAAGGATGAAATGGATAGATTGGTTAAAGAGATACTGGAATCTCAGTACATTCAACACAGCCAGAGTCCCTATGCCTCACCTGTACTGTTAGTGCTCAAAAAAGATGGTTCTTGGCGTTTTTGTGTGGATTACAGGAAGCTCAATGACCTCACCATTAAAGATAAGTTCCCTATACCTGTGATTGATGACTTGTTGGATGAACTCAGGGGGTCAAAGTATTTTACCAAGTTAGATTTGCTGTCTGGTTACCATTAGATCAGAATGAATCCTTCTGAACAGCACAAAACAGCATTCAGAACTCACCAGGGATTGTATGAGTTTACTGTGATGCCATTTGGCCTTACAAATGCTCCTGCAACTTTCCAAGCTTTGATGAACAGGATTTTCAGCCCTCACCTCAGGAAGTTCATTCTGGTGTTCTTTGATGACATCTTGATTTACAGCCCTGACCAAGACAGCCACAAGGAGCATCTGGCTGCTGCCTTGTCCATTCTCAGGGCCAATTTGTAACATCCTGTTCCGGTAAAACCCATATTTCGATCGCTAGAAAGTTCGCGATTTAAAATCGAGCATTTTGACACTATTTCGGCGAAAATCGGATTATCGATCGATCGGATAAGTATACGTATTAATTATATATATATATGGTGGCTACTTCGGTGCACTCACTTTTTTGGGTGCATTCAGTGCACCCACCTCTAAAAGTGGTCATAATACATCAAATTTTGAAATTTAATGGGTAGCATTAGTCTCATATGATGATATAACATAAAATCACAACTAATCAACCCATTACCCTAACCTATTAACATTCAATTTTGAATCTAAACCCAAAATCCCAAATTGTAAACCCTAACCCTAACCCTAAATTCCTAAACCCTGAATCATTCAAATTAAAGTGAACCTTGATTGATTTTTGTACAAATTCATGTGGTTCTTGTTCATCATACTACAAGGGATGATTGACATCGTTTTCACATGAATCGTCTGCTCAGAATGACGATTATGAGGCGGGTGCATTGAATGCACCCAAAAAAGTGAGTGCACCGAAGACATAACCATATATATATATATATATATATATATATATATATATATATATATATATATATATATATATATATATATATATATATATACGGGACATTTAATTCCCTTCCCATACAACTCTCCATAAACCATATCAACTTCTTCTTCTTTTTACTTTCCGCGAGAGAAGCAGAGAAACAGAGCGTTCAGGGGAACGTCGGGGGAAAAATTCTCCAGCTCAAATTCTTGAGCCCTAGTGATCCAAAAATCCCGTAAGTAATGCCTAATTCATCTATTCATCGTGATTTATCGATTTAGAGCTTTAAAACGAGTTTTTGGTTCACGAATTTCTTGAATTCCCGATAAGCCAAATTAGGGTTTTGGAGTATCCGGAAGCCGGATTGAGCCCAAATTTCATATACGAGCTTCCTGCAGCAAGGTAATCAATCCTCTAGTTCTAATCCCTGAATTTCGGCTATTATTTAGGCCAGGGTCCAAACCGCTGAATTTAGCTCCGTCCAGGGTTTGATGTGTTTTTATCGAGAATTTGACCCGAAGCCCAGAACTAATATTGACGGGGATACTGCAGGGGATATTAGGACGGTCTCGGATTTTAATTCGGGGTTCGTTCGAGAAATTGACGTTTTAGTACGGGAAGGTTAAACCGGTGTTTGAACGACCAGAACTGGTGAGGGATTAGCACGGCATACCGGGTTTGTCGTATCACGATAATTATATTGATGCTTAGAATTGACCTAGGTGAACTAGAATGGCATGATTAGGGGTGTATGGACCTTTGTGCTATATGTTGAACCCTGGATTGCTGTATGATATTATTGACTTGCCCTAATCTATATGAACCTTGTTTATGCTGATGATTGTGTATATGTTGCAAATTGTGGGATTGACGGTTAATATGCTTTACGATGGTTCGAGAAGGTGAGTAGGTATGATTTTTCATGATTGTTGGATTTGGATGCACAAGTGGGAAAATATATATTCCCTGATGATATTATGATTTTTAAGGAGGATGACTTGCACGAGGGTTTACCCCGAGGAAGTGCAATTATACGACTCCTGATTTACCTATGTCGAGCCAATTATGGCCAGGTCAAGTACATGTGCAAGTAATGAATTATGATTAAGCAAGATGAGATATGAATCATGTATAAGGATACCAAATATCAGTGTTGTGGTCTCACGGTCAACTACATAGTAATTAGGGCTCCCTATGCTATTACTCTATTATGATATGTATGATAGTCACACATCTCATGTGGTGGTGACTGAAGAATTCTTATGAGATATGACCACACCCAGAGCGGTGTCGGGGTATGACTACACCCATAGTGGTGTGGGGTATGTATGACCACATCCGACGGGATGTTGGGATATGTATGACTACATCCGACGGGATGTGGGGTATGTTTCCCGGGAGAGTTATTAGCATGGGAGTAGCCAGGCGCCTATGATTGAAACATGATAAGATGCATATGCATAAGTCAAGGTGGTTGAGTCTTTTGCCTATTGGGATGTTGGAGGGCTGAGATCTGATCCCAGTGCTTTGGCTTGTTTGCTAGATGTATGGTAGGGGTATGCTCTGTTATGAACTCACGATGCTATGATTATCTCACTCAGCTATGAGCTGACCCTCTTTTATTCTTCTTCTCTGCTTATGCTATGTGTAAGCAGATCATCAGCATCAGCAGTAGATAAGTGTTAGGTGGGAGAGGAGCTAGAGTTGAAGCAAGGATGAGGTATGGTCTTCAACTATTCTGTGCTTGGACTACTACTCGGGATTTTGGCCAGTGATCCACACCTTTTTGTAAAAAAAATGTTTTGAGAACGTTTTTCATGTGCATACTAGCTTCTGATCTAGTGTGAGATATCCACAGGTGTGGAAAGTAGATGATATGTGTATATTTGTGTAACTGTGTAAGTTGTGACGATTATGGTATGTATAAGTATGGTATGCAGTTGTGTAGTATGAAACTGTGACTATGGCTATGAAAAGCCAATGCATATGGTTGTGAGTATATGTGTTTGTCTATGAATGCATGGATTCAGATGAATTATTTTGCAGGATCATATGGAAGAACTGTTAGCCCATTACGCGAATAATTCATGTCGAAATTTTATTTAGGTAAATTTTGATAATTAATGTAACACCCGAGATTAATTCCGCTGCAATTGTATGAACAATATGATTAGGCAAAACGTATAGGGTAGGGTGTTACACAATTCATTGTATGCAAAACCTTCCAAGTGTGCATTTGGCCAAACTCAGATCGATTATTTGGGGTTCATCATCAACCAGGATGGGGTGACTACTGATCCAGCCAAAATAGAAGCTATGGTAAAGTGGCCTGTACCTAAGACAGTAAAGGAATTGCGTGGCTTCCTGGGTTTGACTGGTTACTATAGGAAGTTTATCAAGAATTATGGAGTAATTGGTAAGGCTCTCACTGATCTGCTGAAAAAGGATTGCTTCAAATGGTCAGAAGCTGCACAAGAGGCTTTCACAGCTCTCAAAACAGCAATGGTTTCTGCTCCTGTATTGGCTCTTCCTGATTTCTCTCAACCCTTTGTTTTGGAGACTGATGCAAGTGAGTTTGGTATTGGTGCTGTTTTATCTCAGGGCGGCAGACCCTTAGCCTATCACAGTCAGGCTTTAGGGCCTAGGAAACAAGGTCTCTCTACTTATGAGAAGGAGTACTTAGCTGTCATCTTAGCAGTCACCAAGTGGAGACATTACTTGGAGGGTAGGCCATTTAAGATTGTGACTGACCATGAGAGCCTCAAGCATCTGCTTGGACAGAAGATTCACACCCAGATACAGAAGAAAGGTTTGGTGAAACTCTTGGGATTGGATTTTGAAATCCAATACAGGCAGGGTAAGTTCAACCAAGTTGCTACTTCTATGCCCTGTCAAGGCACCTTCCTGGCTCTCTGAACTGGAAGAGACTTATGTTGGGGATCAAGAAGTACAACAGGTAATGGTGGAG